AATAATAATAATAAACAGATGAATTGCTGTGAAAGATAATTCTTAGTTGCAGTCCCAGTTCTTTTTCATTTCACGTCTTGCCCAGGACAGCATATAGATGTGAAGGCAGCCCATTGGGTAATGCCTCTGAACTAGAGCTGGACCGATGTCTGTCATTTTTATCTGATCAGGAGCTTTGCCTCGTCTGCTTGTTAGTTGCGTTGATAGTTAACAACCCAAATGCACTTCTTTATATTCTGATATTTGCTGCATTAATGTCGTAGTTTCTAATGCAGCATCATCTGTACTTGGTTTTACTGGAGACCGTTAATGTATTTAATCATAAAGAGTTGTGGCGGCTGGAGCAAAAACCTCCGAAAGCCAAAAAATGGGCTTGTTTGTTGAACCGTCAATGGTTTCTTTACATATCGATGGTGCAAACACACTGCTGATGGGTCTTTGTAGGTGCTGGGCTGCTGGAAGGATCAGATGGCTTTAAGTCTTATTTAAGGACAAGGATCAATCCACTAAAGGGAATTCATTTCATAACTAGAAACACATAAATGGGTTAAATTAAAAACCCAGTAAGCTCGGGTTTGGTTTAAGCTCAGAGCTGATATTACATCACATCTCTTCCAGTAAATGTTTGATCCTTAGAATAGTTTCCTCAGCATACGTAAAGAGAGGAAGTTTGAATCTACCACTTTACAGATTAAATGTGAAGCATTTTAACCAGCTGCAGATTTTAATAACTGATAAAAGCGGCTCTTTACTGTGGCTCAGATTAAAGTTTTACTGCATCATGTTGCTGGAGTTGTTTCTGTAACGTAAACTGAAATATGCTATGATGATATACTGCAGTAATTCAGCTCTGGAACCACCTCAGCTGCTGTTGGATGGATTGAGGAGACGATTGGTGTCGATTGGCATCATTCATGCTACAAGATAAAAATAAAATAATCTGCTGTCTGTTTGTCCGACTGCTTCCCATATCAGCTCAGTGGTTGGCAGGATGATACTCGGTTTACACGGTGCCATCAAACCTACGGAGCCCCTAAAGGGACATGGAGGGGGAAAAAAAGAACTTTTCCGAGATCCCGCAATACTTTAGCAAGATCCCGCAATAGTTTCGCGATATCTCGCAAAAGTATTGCGGGATCTCACAAAAGTATTGCGGGATCTCACAAAAGTTAATTTTTTCCCTCCATGTCCCTTTAGGGGCTCCGTAGGATTGCATACGGACCTTGTCTCTCTTCATTCGTGTAATGTCGTGTTTCTCTAGAAATTAAGAACCTTTCCAAATCATCCTCCATGGTTGTAGCTGACACATGGGCATATTATCCTCCCATAGCAGTACACTTTGCAACTCCACTGTTGTGTGTTTGTTTTACTTCCGCTGACATGGCAAAACGTTTTGCGAGATCTCGCAAAAGTATTGCGGGATCTCGCAAAGTTTATTTTTTCCTCCATGTCCCTTTAGGGGCTCCGTACAAACCTATCCAATTAATAATTGAAAAGAAAAAAATCTTAGGACTAATCAAATGGCAAAATAATTGTTAGTTGCAGCCCTACGTGCGATTCTGGATTCGCACTTCAATAAAAATTCAATAATAATTTATCAATCCTAAAGTGGAATTAAGTATGTATCCCGATGTGTCGCGAACAGTAACAAACATCATATATGGCTTTTTTTTTCTATATATATATACATACATACACAGGTGCTGGTCATAAAATTAGAATATC